TGGAGTTTCCGTTGATTCCAAATGAATACCGCAACGGGATCACCTTTTAGATTCTGTTGATTCCTAAGAATACCAGAAATATAGACATCAAAAACTCTTTGATTCATTTACGAATGTGGAGAATTTGGATTCATTGATTTTAAATATCAAATACCGAGAATATAAGAAATTTGAGAAGATTTTAATAATTGATAATTTTTTTCAATTCAAAAATCACTTCTTTGACATTAAGGCTACAACACTTATTTATAACAACTAAAAAACCTAATTAATGACTAATCCTAATAAATGACTATATCTAATTAATGACTAATCTTAATTAACAACTAATATTTAGCAAATTTCATTTAAACTGAAATTTGTTCATTATTGAAATTAAATCCAGGGTTTTAATCAGTCTCGGCCTCAAGTTCCATCTATTGGCCTGCAAGTATCACCAATAGAGAGGCCACCTCAATCAGGACAACACTTGCCATATTCCTTGCAGCTACAATCTTCGAATGCGGCATCTTTCTCCAAAACACAAAGTTTACATGGGTCACACACTCAGTTGGGTCAAATGCATTTGCCATACTCAGCTGGTCATAGTCCTCACAGTCAGGCTCCACAAACACAACAGCTGCCTCATTTGAGTGGGCAGTCAACCGTTCCTCGACCACAGATGCAGCATAATGCACCATCAGCCCCACGACAAGGATCTGTGATGGAAAATTTACAGCAAATACCTGCTCAGCAGTTTCAACCTCTTCATCAATCGCAATCACAGTTGGCTCAGATGCTGTCACAGCAAAAACAAACTCTGGAGGCCAGCTTTCAGTCATCACAGCAAGCCTTCTCTCAGCTTCAACAGCAGCTGCAGATGCTGCAACCATCGAATCAGAGTATTACAGCGCAGCAGAGTCCAGAAGTCGCTAAACAGCAGGTATCAGTTGTGTTAAATATGAGAATACTGCTTGATCTTTTTTTTTTTTTTTTGCTTATTTTTTTTTTGGGGGTGGGGGGTTGAATCACTAGGTAGTTTTCTCTGAAAATAAAGTTTAACATGGTAGATTCTCCATATATGAACATATGCCTATATTGGCCTGAAAGATATTTAGTTTGATATATGAAATCCAGTCAAGTTTGTTCTTTGATTTGTAGTAACACAGTTTTATCCATAGTCCCTATTTTGTTTGCATGATTTTAAGATGCCAGCAATCTGGTATTTTTGTAATGATTATCATCTTCATGATGTTTACAGTGTAGTGATATTCATTCAAGTAAATGTTGGTGGTATCTGTGTGCTCACTACTTTTGAGTTATTTCGCTACCTTGGTATTTTGTTGAGTGCATGTCATGTTAATATTGCTTATTGTTCTTCTCTAGTCTTCTTGGGCTGGAATTGCATCACAGACGGTTAGAAGTACTGCTGGTGTCCAACCAGGAGATGTAGCTCCTCCTACATCTGCTTCTCCTTCTGTTGCAGCTGTGGCACTGGATCTTCTTGGGCTGGAATTGCATCACAGACGGTTAGAAGTACTGCTGGTGTCCAACCAGGAGATGTAGCTCCTCCTACATCTGCGTCTCCTTCTGGTGCAGCTGTGGCACTGGTTGGGGCTCCTGTTAAATGTAACTGGACAGAGCATACTTCTCCTGATGGATACAAATATTATTACAACAGTACAACTGGTGAAAGCAAGGTAAAAGTCTTACCATCTATCTGCAGTTTCCTAGCAACATGGCCTCTCATAATTATTGATTTTGGCAGTGGGAAAAACCTGAAGAGTTAGCACTCAACGAGCAGCAACAGCAACAAAAACTGTCTATCCAACAATGTGAAGTGCAGTCTCAGTCACAAGGACTGTCTGTACAGCAAGGTCCTCAGACCCAAATAAACCTTCAAGGTCAATATCAGGCACAGTTCCAAACCCCGATCAGGCCATTGCAACAAACTTCTCAATCACCTTCGGTCAGTATTTGTTGCGTTCTTAATTCTTCTGGTTTACAACCTTTTTACAATGCATTTCTTATTGTGTTACTTTGATATTCCAGTATCAGGTCCATGGACTTCCCATTCGTCAAAACTCTCAGGTAATTTGGGTGCGAAATAATTTTTTTTATATGTATGTATGTATGCCCCTGTTTGGGCTCCATTATTCAAAAACTTCGTTTTTTCAAAATTCATTCTTAACCACACATTCTCCCATAACCAAAAATTCTTCTTATTTTTTAATTACACATTTTCCAAAAAAACTACCATTCCAAAACACATTTCCCCAAAACTCATTTTAATAGAGCCCAAACACAGGCTATATATTGATAATTAAAGTACAAAAGGGAGGGGGACATGGCACCTTACCTCGAGAATCACAAATGGGGGAGAAAGGATGTCAATTTGGACAAACATAACAGTGGAGGTGCAACCTCCATTCCAAAGCATATGAGAAAGACCTAGTGCCTGCTTGGGAGTTTTTTTAATTGATTTTGATTAGTTTTGAGTGATGCTGTTTATGAGGGGTTGAAAAAATCGATACTTGCTCGTTTTTTTGGACACTGGTTTTGGATGGTTTAAAAACCACTCAAAAACAGTGTTGTGTGATTTTGATCGGTTCTCTTAACTCACTAAATTGGAGGTTTTTGGTCGTTCCTCATATTCTCTTCTAATTTTGCTCCTTATAAAATAATTATTTCCAACCAACATATTTTGTTTAAAACTAACTTATAAATAAAAATATATTAACTAAAAAAATTATAGTATACTTAAAAAATTACTTATAACTAAAATATTACTTATAAGATAAAAATTATTTTTGTGTAAAAATTTGTTTATAAAGTAAAAGTACTACTAATAAGCCAAATATTTACTTATAAAATATAAAAAGTTACTTATAACTAAAAAATTATTTAAAAGTACAAAATTAACTTGTAATTACTAATCGTAAAGTTTATTTATATGTAAAAAGATACTAACTTAAAATTTTAAGCAAATATTTAACTTAAATAACTCATGTAAAAAAAAATTTACCTATAAATAAAATATCACTTATGAGTATAAAAATTTCATACAAGAAATTATATATATTGAAATTTCACGAAAGGATATATAGATATATACACACACATAAATATATAAGTAATTTTATTCTTTTAAAAGACTTTCAGAACCAGTGACTAATAAACTTCTAAGCATGGGTTACTGTTTTAAAAATATCTATTAAACCCTTTCATAAACGCACAAAATTGTTACTTTAAAAACGCTAACAGGTACTCCAAACTCCCAAACAGGCCATTAAATATAAGGCTAATCCATTCAAATCTGACTTGGGTAGATCCTTGGTGGCTGCACTAGAAAGCTATTTTCCCTTTATGATTATAATTCTCTCTCTCTCTCTCTCTCTCTCGTGTAGGCTTCTTGGTTATTACAAGCATAGATTGCATCCTCTTGGTTTCTGATAACATGTTATTGAGCCCTTGTTTGACATCCATTTTTTTCTCGTTCTCTTTCTTCATTTCAACCACACATTCTATCAATAAAATAATATTACACATAAATCCAAAAATTTTCCTTACTTTTTAACCACACATTCTTCCATCAATCACTATTCCAAAACAAGTTCTTCCATAAAATGGGTGTCAAACAAGGGCTAAATTCTACGCTGATCTCCTCAACTTAGATCCGCAACACACTAGCTCTCCCATCAATTTGGGGTTGGTTACATAAAATCATTTTTTTTTTTTTTTGGATTTCATTTGCTTCATCGCTACATCGTCCTCAACTTCAGATCAATGATATGTAAAAAAAAAGCACCTTATTAAAACAATAAATAGGTTGTGCTCATTCAATACATCAGTGTATATGTACCAGTGAGATTTTTTATTTTATTTTTTTCTGGACTATTTGGAATCAGGAACTTCGCTACCCACAGCCATCTGCAGCCATTGGTTCTATGAATGACCCAACCCGTTTTCAGCAGGTTGGAGTTAATAAATTTATATTCTCAATTATTTATTTTTTTAAGTGCTTTTATATTTTCATTTATATTTTTAATTTATTTTTATTCTTTTGTAGGGGTTCCAGTCTTCTCAAGAATGGATGTGGAAGAATAAGCCTGCAGGTATGTTTGAGAAACAGCAGTGCAGATACTGTCTGTTTCATTCTTTACTTCACGTTGAAATGTTACATGTTGGTTACTTGACATAAATGGAAACGAAGCAGACCGATATTTTTAACCATCTATTGATTTCCTCTTCCGTGTTTTTGGTTTTGTTTTGCCTGCAAAAGACTGTTATCCAAGAATCTATTTATCCTTGTGGCTTGATTCCCGTCACGATCTCAATTGTTGGATTAAGACTAATGTCTCATTTACCCTGCACACCTTAAGGGTTTTATAGTACTAAAAACAGTGATGTCTGTACATCAGTATATGACAACTCTCATGGTCCCATGTTATCCTCAGGATCCTGATCCAGATGATCAACACTGAAATGCAAGGCGGTTTCTGTTTGGGCGATGAAGGAGGCAACGCAAAGACAGCATCCTCTAATCCTGAAATGTAAGGAATTTTGTCTGAGTTATCTTCTCATTGTTGAGAAGTACGTGTACGAGGCTGCTGCTCCATGAATCACTCATGGCAATATTACATGATATGCTTAAATGCTTTAGAATTATATTACGGCATTTTCCTTGAGATCGTGATTAATGTGCGGTGTAGAAACATTTTAAGGATGTAGAAGCTTTAATCTTGCTACTAGCCCCTGATGACTTGCATCAATTTGCATTTTGTAGCTATTTTTTCTTCTGTACGAGTTTCCTCATATCGCGATAGCAGCATCAGATGTGCATTAAGTGGTGCTACGGGTCAGGTTATTTAGCGTGTCTGGGTTCTTTATGCTGCCCACGTGCTTTGATTCGTAAACAGGTGATTCTGTTCAAATATTTTTTTTCCTTTTCATAACTGGGAGATAGAATTTAGGAGGCATGTCTAGTGAACGTGCATTCTTCGTTTGCTAGAGTAATCAAATTAATTGACAGCCCTACAGTTTCTACGAATTTCTCCACCACTAGATAGAGATGCCAAGCTTCCCATTTTCAGCATCGAATTTTTGAAATCCTCGTAAAATGCTGCAAGATCATCCACATAACTCCGGATGATATCACGTGTCTTGTCATTGCCAGTGGCTAGCACCTGGTCAGACGCTAGTAAACCCTCGCCCGAAAGAATGTTGACGTAGTACTGATTATCAAACATTGATGGTGTCATATGATCAAGATCTGCGAGTGTTGTGTTAGAATCAGATCTTGAGCATAGTTGCTGGAGGGACTCTAAGAATTCCAAATTGATGTCGGGTGAGTTTGCATTATTGTTGCCATTTATTCGAGAGCTAAACGTTGAGCATCGAGCTTTTCCCATGGTGTGTGCACCTGCTCATGCAAAGAGAAGTGGCATTTTCTCGTTAAAAGTATTTATATATTTGTAGTTTGAACTTATAATTAAAGGTAAAAATAAGTGATTTTAAATCAAGAAATGAGGTTTGTTACCAGAGAGTGCAACCATATCCTGGAGTGACAGCCCGACATTTTGGAACTTGGCTACTAATGTGGGTACATCAGAATTTGGGCCCGGGATATTGTTATTGGCTGCTGTTTTGCTAGCACTTAAACTATCTTTTCGGCCCATTTGTACATCCCATCCAGGCCCACCTGACTGAAAATTGAAGCCCAATTACAAAGAAAATGAAATCAAATTCAGCTGAAAGTAAGACTAAAAACAAGCAATTAAACTAGACCGACGTGGTATGGTCTGTTCAGGCACACTGAAATGAAGCACAACTAGAGGCATGGTCTGTTCAGGCCTGAGCTGCCCAACACTAGTTAGTCTCAGTCATCAGGGGTGCGTGGCTCGTCCGTGTGGACTGGTCCACTGGGCCTTTATATAAAATAAAATCTGTGTAGGTCTATGAAAAAAATTGTATGCACATGATCCTGTCATGCCCATGGGCCATTTGAGGCCTAGATATACAAAGCGCGCTGACTGGAAAAAGATATGTAACAGAGACGCGGTCTTATTTGAACCTATAATTCACATGCTCGTTCGTATGTTAGTTCAATAAATAGGAGAATATGTACCAAAACAACAGAATCTCTAGCAGCAACAGCAAGAATATCAGCACAAGACACAATCTGAGGACAAACATATTCAAGATCAGCTTTTATTGCATCAATCACTTCAAATCCCCTTAGTGAGTTCAAGTTTGGTGCTGCAGTTTTTTCTCCAACAAAATTTGGTGTGTCATCCAGCAGCACTGAAGCATCACATCCCTATAAATATATATTGCACATTAATCATAAAAAGAAATAACGGCCAAAAATGAGTTAACAATATTTTCATATTTGTAACGTATTTGGAACAGTACTATCTAGTCAGTCATATCGAGTGTTGCATACCAAAAACATCAAAACATCGTATGTGTAGCAAATAAATTAATTAAGATAGATAGATAGACGACTCGCATTAACAAAGCAATCGTGAAAATGAAGTCGCAGCAAAGAAGCGGCCATTCTCGGGTCATCAGAAACAGCCTTTTCGACCCTTGAAAAGATGATAGGTTCTGCCTCTGGACAACTATTTTGGTAGAAACCAATGCTTAATACAATAGTGGCACCATCAATGCATGACTCATTCCTAAGGTTGCTAGCAAAAGCTACACAAAATTTCAGCAAAATCATGCAGACACCTAAGTAAATGGCCATTGTTTTAAACAATATTTGAAGGTAAATTTTGAAGATGAAAGTGATAGGGAAAAACTGCAGTTTATATAGATGTTGGTACGTAGATTTTGAGAGTGAGCATAAGATTGGTTAAGAAAAAGACATAGTCAAGCTAAGAAATGGTCAGTTTGTACGTGGATGATGATGACATGAGTCTAACTGTTCACCTAATGCCCATGTGCTTCTGATACAAACCAAAGATGATCTTGATGTACTTTTCATTTGAGATGTTTAGATCTATATAATATGTCAATCTTCATGTTGGGTTATTTCCTTTTATATGGAGGCAAACCCCATGTGTGGGGTCTTTTATTGTAATCCAAAGCACATTATGGTTTTAACTTAAGGATGACTATAAAATAAAAGATAGGAGAAAATAAAAGCTCGAGCCGTTTTCCAAAAAAGGGAGAAAAACAGTTTTTTTCCCTGCGTCCAGATTTCATCAAAGCGACGATCCTGGGTCGTCCATGGTTCGATCGAGTTAAAATTTGGAGCAGAGGTTCACAAGACACAGAGATACAATCTGAATGATGGTGATCGAATTTTGAGTTCGGGATTATTGGTTAGTATGCATAAGAGTAATCGACCGTGTTGGTATTATTTTGAAGAAATATACGTTGTAACATCTAATTGTGACTAGATAAGACTTTGTGTACTCATTATTTGATTGATAGTGGAGCTTTTGACTAGACTAGGTCCCGTGGTTTTTATTCTTCACATCAGGAAAGTTTTTCTACATAAAATAATTGCTCGTATTCTTGTGGTTTGGTGTGATTAATTTTTTTAAAAATATTTTCAGCATATACAATTGTCAGAAAAGACATTTTACTTATTTGATTCTAGGAAAAAGAATTATTCCGCAATGTTTGTCTTTTGCATCTCTCCCGACGGTGGTATCATAGCTAAGTTCTACGATTTAGGTTTTAGATTATGGAAACGAATTTGAGTAAAACGATTAACTTGAATGGTTTAAATTATCACATAGAAAGGAAAAATTGATGATCTTCTTTATGTGAAAGATTATTACCTATCGGTGTTTACAACTGAAAAATCAAATAACAAGTCAAATGAAGTAAGAAGTTTGTTGCATCGACAAGTCTGCGGGTATATCATGCAGTGGGTAGATAATAATATTTTAAACCATGTTAGTGGAGAGACACATGCTCGTATTCTATAGAGTAAGCTTGAACAAGCATATGCTAGAAATATTGGAAATAATAAAATATTTCTGATTAAGCATATGATGGCATTGAGATACACGGATGAGACTTCTTTAACTGATCATTTGAATACTTTCCACAGAATTATTAATTAGTTAGCTGAAATGGATATTAAGTTTGATGATGAGATTCAGGGGTTATGGTTGCTTGGTTCATGATCGGACTCATGGTAGACGCTCAAAACTTTATTGTCTAACTCTATTCCAGATGGTATCATCACAATGGATACAGCTAAAAGTAGCTTATAAAATGAAGAGAAGATGGGGAAAGTAAGAGCAAATACCGAAAAACAGAGACAGAAGCAGAGGCAAGTCAAATAGGTTTGCAAATGCCGAGTTTTATGATTGTGGAAAAAACAATGTTATTAAAATCGGACCTGACTAGAGCCCGGAATCGAAACCATACCCATAAACGGTCTGGTTGTTACTTAAAACTCGTGACCACAGAAACCGGTGAAAAACATGACAAATCGGACTGTTAACAAGGAACAGGTGAACCTGAACCGATTTTAACGAGTTTTCCGATTGTTTTGACAAAAAATAGTAGTGGTAGAATAAGTATCTCTCTTTGTCTTATTTTCCCAAAGCTCGTAGATTGTTGAAAATCCAAAACAAAAAGCAGAAAGTGGTGCCAAAACTAAAAAAAAAAAGGTTGCAATGTAGAAAGCTCAAGATAAATGTGGAGCAACAACAGTGGCAGCCTCTTCAATAATAGAACAACAGAAGCGGCGAGACACTAGGGATATGTAGGCCTGAGCGCGGTTTGATTTGGGTTGATGTCGACTCCAACCCGAAACCAACACCAAAGTAGTCTGTTTGGATGAATTTCAACCCAGACCAACTGACTCTAGCTCTTAAACCGAACCGAACCGACCTTAACCAAATCGATTTAGTTTGGTTCGATTAGTCAGTTTGGAGTTTTAGTTCAAATTGAGTTTTTAAAAAAAGAAGTTGTCTGGGTTTTGGGTCCACTTAGATTACAAGAACTAAAATAACTAAATAACTTTATATTACAAGAACTATTGATTAACGAATAAAATTAGATTAATAGAGACATATTAACAGAAAAGTTATGAATTTTATTGCTTTTTTATGCATTATATAACCCAATTGTCTGAGTAGGAAAAAAATACTCTGTATAACATAATGAGCTCGTGAAATAAAATTCTCATCGCTATTGCTTTCTAGCACATCATAGATTGGAGGGAATCGAGATATACTTATGATATTAGGGCGTATCTTTTTATTAATATATATATATTTTTTAAAAGGTAAACATGTAAGTGAGTTTGATTGGTACAGTTAACCAACGGTTTGAGACTTCAAACCATAGCTAAACCGACTCACCATGATTTTGTCAAAAAAAAAAAAAGGAAAAAACAAACCTAACCAATTGTCTGTGTCAAACCGACCAGAGACTGTTCGATTTGATTGGTTTGATCAATTTTTCAATTTTTTTGCTTAGGCCTAGGGATATGGTAGTGGAAGGTTATATTTATATATGGGGAATAACTTGGGCTTAAATTTTGCTTTACAATTTACACATCATCCATTTATTTGGGCCCATTTAGTTTTTTATAAGGTTAAATGAGTATTCAATTAATTAATATTATATTATATATAATTTTTTTAAAAGAATACATATTATTAAGTTGGAAAAAGTGAATGTGCGTGAATATATGAATTATTTATTTAATTATTTTAATTTTCGGTTCAATCCCGATTCAACCCCACTTCGTCCCTCTAACCCTTTCTTTTTTCGAGTTGATGTCTCGATCGATTTTCAAAACATTGGAAAAAAGGGATACATCAAGAAACATTGCAGACAATGGAAGAAAGAAAACAAGAATAAGCAATGAAATGACACAAAGAACAAGGATGACAAAGATGGTGATGACAGAGTTGATACCACTGCTCCTACAAACTTCCTCATTATTTTTTATGAAGAGATAATCAATTTTAAAAGTCATGAGACCAATCGCGGAAGGATTTCTTTACATCCAATAGATATGGTGATTTCAGAAGTGTAAAGATGTATAATGATAGCTTGGTTAAAGTCTTTGATATTGGAGATGTATATTTGGAGATGAGTAATGGTTCGAGGTTGGTTCTTAAAGATATGAAGCATATTCTAGACATTTGTTTAAACTTTATTTATGTAGTAACATTTGATGATTATGATGGGTATGACAGTACCTTTAGTAATGGCCAGTGGAAGCTTACTTGAGGCACCATGCTTGTGGCTCGAGGCAAAAAGGTCTCTGCTTTGTATGTTTTGTAGGCAAATCTCTCCAGTGATATTGTTAATGCAATGGAGGATGATGGTATAGTAGAGTTGTGGTATAAGAGACTTGCCCACATGAGTAAGAAATGATTAGTTATATCGGGAAAGAAAAGTATACTAAATGGATTGAAAAATACACATCTGAAAAGGTGTACTCATTGTTTACTTGAAAAGTAGAACATAGTATTTTTCAAGAATTTTCCTCCTTCGAGAAAGTCAGAAATACTGGACTTGATACATTTAGATTTGTGTGATCCTGTGAAAATGTCCTGTGAAAATGAGAACACTTGGAGGCTCTAGTTACTTTATAACCTTCATAGATGATCATTTAAAGAAATTATGGGTTTATACCTTGAAGATGAAAGACTAAGTGTTGACCGTGTTCAAGCAATTTTATGCCCTAGTTGAGAGGCAGATTGGGAATAAATTGAGGTGTATGCGAACAAATAATGGGAGAGAGTATTCTAATCCTTCTAATGAGTATTACAGACAATAGGAATTCAACATCAAAAGATAACTCTAAAAACTCCTCAATTGAATGACATAGCTAAAATGATGAACATGACACTGGTTGAGAGAGTGAGATGTTTACTTTCTCAAGCCCAGTAGCCAATATTCTTTTAGGGTGAGGCATTGAGCACGATGATACATGTGTTGAATTTTACACCTTATGTTCCCGTATAGTATGATGTTTTGGACTGGTAAGGACGTTTCCTATGATTATTTGTGTGTATTTAGATGTAAAGTATTTGTGCATGTTTCTAAATATGAATGGTCCAAGTTTTATGGTCAAGATGAGTTTGGATACATGCTTTATAATCCAGTTGTAAGAAGTAGAGATGTCATGTTTTTTGAAGATAAGACGATTAAGGATATTGAGAAACAAGAGAAATATGTACCTCAGAAGGGTTATAGTTTGATTGATTTGGATTTGGTTCCTTTGAAGAATTTGCTAACTCAAGTTGAAAATGATGTTTAGAATGGACATGGGGATAAGTAATGTTGATGGTCTCTTGCAGGCTCAGACCCATCATGAGATTGATAAGCAATTGACAGTGTCATATATTACACTAGAAGTTCCACCAAAGGTTCTACTTAGGAGGTCTACCAAAGGTCGACATCCTTTCACATGATATTTAGTAGATCATTATGTGTTATTGACTGATGGGAGAGAGACCAAGAGTTATGCAAAAGCCATGGAATATGAACATAATACAAAATGGGTTGAGACCATGCACATGATAACTACACCTTTGATTTAGTGAAACTACGAAGGGTGAAAGAACTTTGAATAATAGGTGGATCTACAAGGTGAAGCAAAATGAGTGCACTTTTCAGTCGGGGTATAAAGATAGGTTGATTGTAAAAAGGTTTGACTAGAGAAAAGGTATTGATTTTGATGAAATCATCTCTCAAATTGTAAAGATGTCATCTCTTCACATTGTTCTTAGCTTAACAACTGGTCTTGTTTTAGAATTT